TATATGTGAGCTAAAATTAAATAACCTCTAACTAAAAGCACTATAAAATAGGATAAAAAAAATACCTGTTAAAAAGTCCAGTTATTGTTTTTCTGGCAGTGGTAGGGATTCATGCATAAAATGCCATATTATCAACCCTGCTGTTGGCCATAATAATAAATATAGCTATGGACAAGTGTTGTAAGATATTCCAATAGGTGACCCGTAATTGTTTTTCCGATCAAAACTTGCCACTGTTGACTGAAAAAACAGAATTCTGTTCGTTTAACTTAGCCTTTAGCGTCAACTTTCAACATAACTTGTAAAACACTGTCCTCTGCCGGGCAGGAATGGTAACACATCACCATATGAAAGGGATCAAAGCTCGACTTATACATTAACTTTTTGTTAAATTTTGAGTAGTTTTCTTTTATTTTGCTTGTTTTTTCATCTTATTGATTGATTGACGATGCCTTTATTGTCAWTGTAAGGAGCACAATTAACTTACATTTAAGAACACCATTCAAGAAGTCACACACACGATAAAAATATTCAATATTATTCTAAATGTTCAACAAACAAGTTAAGTTATTGATTAGGTTATGTGTTATTCCTCCCATGTTTTTATTAACGTTTACGGTCAGTGACAACAGGATTAAAAGTAATTGTGTCAAAGTGTGGGAAATGTATTGATCATAAATGTAAATGAAGAATTAGTTCTTGTATCCCACAAAAATAGTTTTTTTTTATAAAACAGGGCGAAAAAAACAAATTTTGAGGACAGAAAAAACACAAACTTGTGAGATTTTAATGTTTACGCTAAATTATTTGAGAATTGCTTCTGTGAATCCTTCCATTGCGGACTCAGCGTAGCGCATGCGCAGTGCGTGACATTTTGAAGCAGCTTCTCCGGGGTGTTTGAACAGGAAGGCGGACATGTTGGCCGAGCTGTGTGAGAAATTTGTGCACAGTATGCGATTGTTTTCCGAAAACTAACATACATCATACTTGATTTTTAATTTATATTATTTTTTAGTGTTACCAGCGTTTGGACGGGGAACAGTCATTGACAGTGCACGGGACGTAGCGGAAGGACTACCGTAAACGTAGAAGCGACTCCGTGTTTAAACTTCGAAATTTGGAAGAAGCAGAAGTTTTTTTCGCCACTACTTCTACTTTTGAGCTGTCAAATTGTCGTTTTCTGCAAAGGGCCTGGCACAGATAAAGGGACGGTCCAGGATTAGTCATTTCTCCAAACTGCTTATTTTCAAGAAGATATTATAGAGACTTTTTAATTGCCTTTTGTTTAAACGTTTTAAGTCCTTAACCTCCTCAGTCAGTGGCATCCTGCGGAGGTTGTCTAATCTGTCGCCGCATTTATCTTTGACACTGAAGTTGTTTGCCGCTCATACGGAGACAAACATCTTCCGACGTCGAAAATGTGGAATGTTGAGTGCGACCTCAACGCCTTCATTGTCTGTGAAAACTCGGGGACGACGATGCATTTTCTTTGAAGTGAGGTGTAAAGTTCACACGAAGAAAGGGACGTTTGGCTAGCTAAAAGCTAGCTAGCTGCCTCGCCAGTGAGCTGTTTTTGTTTATAATAACCCAACGTCGGGACTGAGTTTTGACAGCAAAATGTCTTCAGCCGAAAGTATGGTGGCTCGATTTGAAACRATCGATGCCATGTTGCAAGACCCCCAGTCGGAAATAAACACGGATTGTCTACTGGTAAGTTTTTAGCTTGTTAGCTGAAAGCCAGGTAGCTAACGCCATTCGGGGTCAGTCTACTCCTTGGAACAGCAATTCTTTCTAAGACAAATAGTTTGTCTTGTGTTATTAAGACACTTTTGGTATTTTTTTTTATGTTTTCCTTTGGGTTGTTTTATGGGTGCCATATCTTAACATTTCCATGTCACTGTCTTTATGCTTGTTCTGCATCAGTCCAGTTTTAATGTGTTTGACTTTTTTGTTGTCATA